CACCAGAAACCACTTAGATCCAGCTCAAGAAAACAAAATGTATTGGAAAGTCACGGGATATCTTCCAGGATCTGAAGAACTGTGCAGTAGCAGTACCCAGAGTCCCACTGGGGCTCTGTTGGAAAAAAAAAAAAAAAAAAGCTGGGCTTTTGATGAACCCCCTTGCAGGAGAATACCTAGGACAGCTATTTGCAAAGGAGAGGATTGTGGCCTCAACAGACATCCCAAATGGAACACATTATGGCAAGAGCTAAAATATATTTATACCCACGAAGCTTGCTTTCACAAATATACCCTAAGCTACTAATACCACAGAAGCAAAAAGTTACCTGAAGGCATCGTCTGAAGCCTTATCTAGAGTGGAAAAGACATTAAATCAAAGGTTGCAAACTCAAGTGCATATAGAAATCAAGAGGTGATAATGTAAATGAGGGAGGGAGGCAGGCTTGGAGAATGACAATAGGGAGTAGTGGGGTCTGTAGCAAAGTGGAGAACATACGCTCTCTCCAAAGGTGGATGGATTGCAGCTGCCAAGCTTGAAGTTTATAAATCTGAATCTAAGGGTTATCCATGATTTCCTTGGCAACTAATTAAAAATTTTAAAAAACAACAGCTACGACAAAGTCCTAGCTAGCACTATGTGTTTCAAAGCAAACACATCCACACAGCATAATTCAACCTACATGCACCCAATTCTGGCCCAAGTGCCCAACATAATTGATTGAGTTAGTATAGAGGTTATCAACGTGTAATTTTAGTAAATCAATAACATAGTAACTAAAAGATTATAGGAACTTGGGCAATAGAATAATGTTAACGAATTAGAACATAAGATGATTGACACTATGTGAAAAAGGGGACTGTGGACAAGAACTGTTACGTAATATAATAATATATAATATAAAATTGAAAATAGTTGTGTGAGGGTAAAGGATTTTTTTCTTTTCTTAAAATGCTATTTTGCACATACATATAAAATATATATGTAAAAGTATATGTAGCATATATAACATATATGTATTATGTGTGTGTGCATGCATGCATGTGTGTGTACATGTAAGCATTCATGAAGTAAAGTCCTGCCAAGAGCTGGAGAAGCAGGCAGGCTGAGACTGGGGGTTTGTTGGTGCCCCTTGAGGACGTTCAGAGAGGCGGGGCGAACGCCAGACTGCTCCCTCCCCTGTGGAAGGGGCAGTCGGCCAAGCTTTGTCATTCTCTGGTGACTCAGGGGTACTTCTGACAGTTATTAGTGGTGATTTTACAGCATGGTCTAATTAAGTTACGACTCAAGCTTAAGCTTAAAAGAAAATTAGCTTCTT